ACGCTGCAAACAAAATGTAAAAGCACGTTGCAAACAAAAGTGTTAAAACTGCACGCTGCAAACAAAAGTGTTAAAGCACGCTGCAAACAAAATATAAAAGCACGCTGCAAACAAAATGTAAAAGCACGTTGCAAACAAAAGTGTTAAAACTGCACGCTGCAAACAAAAGTGTTAAAGCACGCTGCAAACAAAATATAAAAGCACGCTGCAAACAAAATGTAAAAGCACGTTGCAAACAAAAGTGTTAAAACTGCACGCTGCAAACAAAAGTGTTAAAGCACGCTGCAAACAAAATATAAAAGCACGCTGCAAACAAAATGTAAAAGCACGTTGCAAACAAAAGTGTTAAAACTGCACGCTGCAAACAAAAGTGTTAAAGCACGCTGCAAACAAAATATAAAAGCACGCTGCAAACAAAATGTAAAAGCACGTTGCAAACAAAAGTGTTAAAACTGCACGCTGCAAACAAAAGTGTTAAAGCACGCTGCAAACAAAATATAAAAGCACGCTGCAAACAAAATGTAAAAGCACGTTGCAAACAAAAGTGTTAAAACTGCACGCTGCAAACAAAAGTGTTAAAGCACGCTGCAAACAAAATATAAAAGCACGCTGCAACAAGTGTTAAAAACCGTGCGCGCGCAGATGACCGTGGAGGCATGGCACTGGACTTGCTTACTTGAAGTACTGGACCAACAAAGCATGAAGCAACATGGCGTCGGGTGAGTCGAGTTCGAGCGATGATTCTGAAAACGAAACACCAACTCACAGCGAATTACCACAGGGCACTGAAAGAGATTTAGTTGAATATTACTTTAACCGGGGATTGACTTACAAACACATTAGACTGATGTTAGAAAAACAGCATAATATTGAAATGAACGAAAGAACCTTAAAGCGTAGGCTCAATGATTATGGTTGCTCAAGACATCATGAAGTGGACCAAGATGAGAAGATGAGTCAGAGATATAATATTGCTTGAAATCAGAAATGGTGCCGATACAGGAGGCGCAGGCTCGATTTGCCCGCGCCCGCCTGTGCCTTCCTTATGACGAGGGAAGGAAGGAAACATTGAGACCAAAATAGACCAGACTTGGCATATGTCACAAGAAACTAACCTCGATTTTTCGCTTTTAGTGCATTTCTTTCACGATTAATCGATATCCCCTGCAAGAATGATACCGTATAACTCTCAAGACAACGATACTTTAATCAAAGAGCTTAAATTCGCTCTGAAATCCCTGAAGGAATAACAAAATTCGGCCAAAATATATCCGCGTGCCGGGTTTGCTGGACAAAAAGCGGAAGTCGTTGAACAACTCAAAATACACTCAACCCTGATTGGACGACGAATATCAACAAACATTTCAAATTTTTCTCCGCTGGGAGGGGGGACAATACTTGGAACAGTACGGTAATAATTTGAATCAAAACAATTCACAAATGTTGTCGGGGGAAAACCAGTGCAAATTTAATTATTTAAATTTAAGAGGTTTATAGTCAGTAAATACGTATAGTAATTTACCCAATTTGACAAGATGTTTCAGTGTAAAATTATAGTCAGTGAATAGTTTTTACTGTGGTTTTATATAAACGTTAACACAGCAAAAAATCATTTTCTTATTAAGAAAAAAATTTCTTAATTTAAGAAAAAAATCTTAAAATAAGAAAATAAATTTCTTAATAAGAAAAAAATTTCTTGAAATAAGAAATTTTTGAATCCCAAGATATCTTTTTTTTAAAATAAGAAAAATTTTTCTTAATAAGAAAACATTTTCTTAAAATAAGAAAATTTTCTTATAATTTCTTAGTTAACGCGAAAGCATTTTCTTAAGAAAATACGATTTTCTTACTTTAAGAATATGTTTGTAAGACAAGAAATGAAATTCTTAAAATACAAAAATATAAAATAGTAAGACATTATTACTTAAAATTTTCGAAGCAAGAAAATGTAAAATGCTAGTGTTATAAGGACAACTTATATCTTAACAAAACTTAGAACAACGTATATCATATTGCGTCAGGTAAATTTGTAGTTTCGAATTGAAGAGACTATATGACTGGCAGCTCACGGTTGATCAAACACTAAATGGCCGGCAGTACATTGACTATATAGTTAAAGTTGAATCTTCAGTATAAGAT